AAATACGAAGCACCACTGGGCCGGTCATCTACTTCGTCGAACTGATGACAGATGGAGCCTTCGAGTCACAGAATGGCTTCCGAGAAATAAAAGAAGACCTCCAGGACGTCCGCCGAATCGGTGGGCCGATTCGTTTTCCAAATATTTCAGAGAAAGCGGCCTACATTGGATGCAAGTCGCGAAAGATCGGGCGGTATGGAGGAGCTGTGGTCCCCGCTGAGAAGACCCTCTTGCCGAAGGACCATCAAAGTATCAAAGTAAGTAAGTAAGTATCCCTTATAATCAATTATTATCAGTTATTTTCGTTCATCATCATTCAATATTACTTGTTATCATTTATTATCACTTGTTATCACTTATTATCATTCACTATGATTTATTATCATTTACTATCACTTGTCATCATTTATTACCATTAGCTAAAATTGCAGCTAAAAATTATAAGGGATAACAAGTAATAATAAACGGTAATGAGCGATAATAAGTGATGAATCAACAGTAACAAATGATAATAAATGATAAGTGATGATTAATCATAATAAATGATAATAAGTGACAACAAGGGATAATAAAGGATGATGAATGATAATAAATGGTAATAAATGATAATAAATGATATTAAGTGATAACAAGTGGTAATAAATAGTCATAATAAATGTTAATAAGTGATAACAAGTGATAATAAATGATAGCAAGTGATAACAAGTGCTAATATATGGTAACGAACGATAATAAGTGAAAATAAATTGTAGTAAGAGATAATAAATGATAACAAGCGATAACAAGATACAATAATCGATGACAGATGATGATAAGTGTTAACAAGTGACAACAAATGATAATGAATGAAATAAATGGTAATAAATGATATCAAGTGATATTAAATGACAATAAAGGATAATGGACGATAAGAAAGAATAATGAATGATAATAAGGGACAATAAATGATAACAAGTGATAACAAATTATAATAAGTGTGAACAAGTGCTAATCCTACTATATATAACGCGCTAAGTGTGTCTGTTGGTTTTTGTGTGTGTGTGGTGTGTGTGTG